CCTGGTGTTCCTTGTCCATCAGCATCTATTGTCCAAGTCCAGCCTTCATTCTACTTGACTGAATCAAGTCCTAATCAGTCCCAGTTATATTCAGAGCCATCCCACCACTGCTTTTAACCTACTTAGCTGCTCACTCACACATTTATGGGATTTCAAGACAATGTCCATTTCCCTCCCATGCCTTGAGTTCTTCCCAGTCCCACCAGGATATCTCCCTTGCATTGGCTTTGGGTTCCGAGCTCAGAGGCACGTCAGACATCCATCAGCCTGCTTTTCCACAGCACATGTCATCACGACACCAAATCCTCCTGAATTAAATCCTCCCATGCCACTCAACTCGCATTGAAACAAAACAACTCATTTTCTTCTCCTCGGCAATTGTGGTAGCTGCTTTGATTTTGACCGAGCAGTTTTCTCCTTCTCGGCGAGTGACCAATCATAAACTCTTCCTAATAAGCTGTCTACAGTCCCCATATTCATCGTGAAGCCAGGCTTCAGTTCCTTTTAAAATCCTTCACCTCTTTAGAAGCTCTCCATTGAAAGTCAGATTTTCTTTTTAAAATGGTATTCATTTTTTCAATCGACATAATAATTATACATATTCATGGGTACAGTGTGATATTTTGACACATGTACACAATATGCAAGGATCAAATCAAAGTATCTAGCATATCCATTACCTCAAATATTTATCATTCCTTTGTGTTGGAAACATTCAAAATTCTCTCCTTTAGGTATTGTAAAATATACAATAATGGGTGGTTAACTATGGAATCCCCGCTTGCTATAGCACACTAGGACTTAATCCTCCTAGCTAAACAGTATTTTTGTACCCATTAACCAACCCTTCTCTCTCTTGCCTTCCCAACCTCCAGTAACCCCCATTCTCTCTACTTCCATGAGATCAATTTTTTTAGCTTCTACATAGGAGTGAGAACATGCAGTATTCATGAAACTCATATTTTCTTAGTAATTGTGTTTCTTGCTATTCTAGTTAACCAGTTCTGAATCAGACAATTCTGTGTGCCCGTGTGCTAAGTCTCATTCTTTCCTTCCCAGTTTCTCCGATAACCCAGGAGACATAACTTAATTCTCACAGTGTGGTAGGTGAAAATGATTATTCCCCTTATAGATGAGGAAGTAGCTGCCCAGAGTACAGTATGACTCACCCACTCCTGCATCTTTTTAATGAGCCAGTCACAGTTAACCTGACCACAGTTAAAATCCTATAGAAATCGGGCCCTGTTTGGGTCTGGGCTTCTTGTTTTCCCAGAGAAAGCATGTCGGTCTTCGGCATATTGTGAGGACAGTGGGCAGCTGGGGTTGTGGTGTGGTATGAACAATCCGTGGCTCTTTGGCTTGGCGAAAAGAAACAGAGAGTCACAGAGACTGCTCTGAAATATAAGAACAGTGTGTGTGTAGGAGATGGAACTGGAAGGGAGGAATCATTATGCAGGCTGACTTTAATCCTACAGAACTCTCTCCCCAAATCCAAACCGCAGGACCCATCCTTAGGGAAGGGTCCCTTGCTGCTGTTGCTCAAAGCCTGGAATATTTTGCTGGGGCCCTTGACTTTCTCACCCATCTGGACAACAGCACCCAAATCATAATGTGACCTTCCTTTTTGGTCCACCAACTAGAACGTGAGCTTCACGTGGGCAGACTGCACCATGTTCATCCTTGTGTTCCTAGCATTTCAAGAGTGTATTTATCTAAAATAGAGTAGAAGATTTTTGAAAATAGGGGCAGCCTTCTGGTACAGCAGTTAAGAAGCCCACCTCTCATACCAAAATGCCACGGTTCGAGTCCAGGCTCTGCTCTCAATTCCAGCTTCCTGCTAATGTGCACCCTGGAAGGCAGAAGGTAATGGCTCAACTACTTGGGTGCCATACAGGAGACTCAGCTTGAGTTCCAGGCTCCTGGTGTCAGCCTGGCTACCCCTGGCTGTTGTGGGCATTTGGGGGAATGAACCTGCAGATGGAAGATCTCTCTCTCCTATCTCTCCCTCTCTCATAAATAAAAATAAACAAATACATCATTAAAAAAGATTTCTGAAAATAATGAGATTCCCATTTCTGGAGATATTCAACCAAAGGCTATTTATAGGGGAACATTAACCATGAAACTCCATTGTGCTATTATTTCTACATTCCCTAATACTTCAAATGCCTTCTTATTGTAAAGTGATTTCAGTAATCCTAATGCATTTAAAAATACATGTTAATACATGTTATTAAACAATGCATACTATTTCTCAGAATGTCTACTGTAATTAGTTTAATATTTTAAATTTAATAGAGACTGATCCTATAAATTATTGAATAAATTTTCAGGCCTTTTTTTTTATTATCACCAGTACACCTACCATGTGCCAGACTTGTGGGATAAAAGGTTGACAGACTCCTGCCCTCTACAACTCACATTCAATGGAGGAAGGAATCTCCATTATTGGGATTGAGAGGCCAAGGGCTGGGTATATAATTTTGATTTTGCAACCCTGCTTCTCAGTACCGGGAATGTTTTCCTAAGGTTACTACAGGTTCTAAGAACTCAATTTGAAAGTCGACTTTGGAAACTAAAGTTATAAGAGAGGATCTTTAAACCCTGGTGCCACCTAAGTGGGAACTGTAATGGATCTAACTGAGGAATGCCTACAGCCAGTAAGGGAAGGTGAACACGGAGGCCCCAAGGTCATTTCAGAAACAATCTGAACTTGAATCTTTCTCTGTTGTGAATTGCAGGTAAAGGCAGGTGCACTGGCAAGCCTCCTCGCTTCTCCCCCACCCCGATCCCTCCCCTCCCCCCCTCCGTAGGCAGCCTAGTTGCAGCCTGGTTTGGGCAAATCTTCAGTAACCATCATGAGAAATGCTATCTAGGGGTCCCCACGCAGCTCCTGCTCTACCAGATTAGAGTCTGTTTCCAATCAAATGGAATTTAGATTTAAACCGCAATTAGATCTGGGATTTACAGTCGTTTCTACTTTCGTTCATTTCGTGGATTTCGGCCCAGCTTTAATCCAGTGCACTTCAGCGGGAATTACCCGAGAGTAGGCAGCCGGAAGGAGGGAGGGAGGAGGGAGTCTATTCTAACAGCAGGTCCCCGCGGGACAGCGCCACAGGCCGGGGCAGGCCCTCTTGGATGGGTTGGGTGAGCCCCACCTTGCCCCAAGGATCCTGCTCACCCCTGCGCTACCCGCTGGATGCCAGCGTTTGTTCTTTTCCACGTCTTTTGGAGGATTTTGCCGCCAGCGCCTCAGGCTTTCCTGGCTCAGGGAACCGGCCAGCGCCAGCCCAGGCGGCGGCTCCACTTCTGCAGAAGGAAAAGCGAAAGCCGCGGCGGGCGGGCCGAGGCGGCGGCCGAACGCGCTCCGCGACTGCTGCTTCTGCAGCCGCAGCCGCGGCGAGAGGGCGGTCCCCGCCGTGCCGGCCCGAATCTCAACTTCCAGCGCAACTCAGGTGCCCCGGAGCACGCCGCAGCCCCCGGCACGCCCTCCCGCCCCGGCCGCAGCCCCCCGGCTCTCTGAGCCTTGAGCGCGCCCCCCCGCAGCTCGGCGGCCACCCCCGGCTCCGGCGCCCAGAGCCCCGGGCCACCCTGACGGCCCGCAGCTCCCGCTTCCGCGCAGGACGCGCCACAGGGAGTTTAGAGGCTCCGCAGCCCCCAACTTCCCGGCTGACGGACGCCCTCTCCGGAGCGCGGGCTCGCCTCCGCCAGCCTCCAGCCAAGGACCTTACAGCCCAGCCGCGGGAAGATGGGATGCCTGGTGAGGGGCGCTCCCCTGGATTTTGAAAAATAGCCTCATTCGCCTAGAGAATGCCTGGATCTCCCACCCGCACCCCTAGCCTGACGATTTTCAGCTTGGGACGCGCCTCGGTGCAGGGAACGAGGCGCTGGAGCTGGAGGAGAGAAGCCAGTCGCGCAGAGTTGCTGAGGTGCAGCCGCGCGCCGCCGGCTGCCAGGGGTGCGGGGCCTTGAGGCTCCGCGGGGCACGGGGCGCGGGCTCCTGCGCCTCTGCCTCCCAAAGGATTGCGCGCGCGCACACACACACACACACACACACACCAGACACACACTCCGCCGCCAGCGCCCCCAACGCCGCGAGCTGCAAAGCGGAGGTCAGAGCCACTGTCCACTTCAAGGCAGAGGCTGGAACAGAGATGGAGGCGGAGGTTCTGGCTTCCTCTCAAGGCTCGCACCTTCCCTAGGACGCTTTCCCATCCCCCTAGGGCGAACGAGGTCTGGCTTCTAAAATTCCCCTCTCTGTGGGCAAATGGTCCGAGCTGATGGGTGCGGGGCGGGGAGCGAGACCGGAGCACTGGAGAGCGAGCCCGCGCTCACCTCCCGCCCTCGGCGTAGAGAACTGGCCAGCTGCACTCAACGCCAGCGCACAACTAGGGGGCCGGGCCCGGGGAGCCGGACCCCAGGGCGCTCCAACTCCGACGAGGGCGGGGAGGGGAGCGACAGCAGCAGCCACCGCGCGCGCGTTGGGAAAACCAAGGAACCTCCGAATAGGCTAAGCGGCGGGCGCCGAGGGGTGGAGGCGAGAGAGGCGGAGGAGGCGTTGCCGGAGCGGAGAAGGATGACGTCCTCCAGCGCCTCTAGCTCGCAGGGACGGGAGATTCGTGCGCTCGCCCAGCTGGGCGCGCTGGCTCTGGGGTTCGCAGAGGCGCCGCGCCCGGCTCCGCTGCGGCTCCTGCGCGGAGCCCAGCGGAGCGATCCCGGCCATCCGAAGCCTTCGCACAAGCCCTCTGGCCCCTCAAAGCGCCTCTCTGCCAGTCCCTAGCCGTGGGGCGCCCACCCGGGAGTCCCTGCCAATTGCAGGAGTACCCAGGCAGGCAGCCCCCACAGCGGGCCAGCCTCGCCCCTTCTTAGCTGTCTCCCATCGACCTCGAGCCAAGGGCAGGCGCCCGCGCCCCAGCCCCTGCCCACGGGGCGAGCCGGGGCTCCCGGCCTGCGCCTGTCTGCCCGGAAGGACAGGGCACTGGGGAAGGAAAGGCGTTCACCTGGGTCGCTGGAGGCTTCCAGTCGGGCTCCTCGTGGATCCTGTTCCCAGCCCCCAGGCACAACCTTGCTCGGTGAAAAAAGTAGCGCAAGGACGGAGAGAGGTAGAGCTGCTCACAGGTCCCTGCGCAGTGGCGCTTTCCTTCCGGTACTCCCGGGTCGGGTCCCAGGCTCGGCGGCGGGAAAGGGCTCCCGGAGGCTGGAAGGGGCCGCCAGACCCGGGCTCCTCCCGCAGCGGCGGCGGTGGCACCTCCAAGTTGCCACCTGCAGCGCGCGTCGGGCGCCTGTGACAGCCCGCGCCGCTCAGCCCGCGCCGGCCCGCCCTCCGCGTGCGCTCATTGGCTGAGCTCCGCGCCCGGGGGCGGTGACCGCGCTTGGCCCCGCCCTACGCCCGCCTCTGAGCCGCGCGCTGGCGAAGTGCGGGTCTCCTTGCAGGGCCTCCCCGGACTTGTAGACAGACAAGAATCTGACACACGCTTCTGTGTGCGTAGGACCCGGAGGAAACAGAGGGGTCATGAGAAACGCCCCCTGCGCGTGCCTTACAGAGACCCAGTAAATGCTTTCTCTAGCTGGTATTCAAGGTTTGGCATCTCTGAAGAGTTCGCGCCGCCGCCGCCGAGTCTGGGGCTGGCGCTGGCAAGTGGCTCGGGGGTTGTTTGGTGTAAGCTTCACCCAACATGGAGCACTGCTGTGCAGCGCAGCGTGGAGTGCGCGGTCTTCTCGCACCTGCAGCAGTGGAGCAGCCTCGAGCTCCAGCCCCGAGCTAAGCCACCCCGACTGTGCCCACACAGTTTCCAGACCTGAAGGCCTGGCGCTTCCTTCAGCCATGTGCCTGCTGGATTCTTCAGAGTCCGGGCCACGAAAACTCATGCGGGTGCCCATAGGAGGGAGACCTGCGCTTGGTGCAACTTCTGGGCCTTTGGAATAAACAGCGGGAATGTTGTGTTCCTTTTCCCCTTCCAGCTCTGCCCTCGGCCCCCCGGGGCATGCCGGAGCCGGCTTCCCTCCACCCTGCCTCTCTGTAGCTCCCGAAGCCGTGCTTTTTTGGAAAACTGCTCTGTGAAGCCTTCTGGAGGAGAGAAGCTATAAAATATGCCAAGCAGACATCCGGAAAGGCGTCCAATCAGCCAGAAAAGTCTGACTCTTGGGTGTATCTGTGCGAAAGAGGTGAGTGGCCAAGTGCCCTATTAGTTTAATAACATTTCAAAATTAACTGCCCAAATAGCACATTTTATAGCTCATTAGGGAAATGTCTGTTTTGAGAGTGCAGGAGTGGCACAGCTGAGTGAGACTGGAGTGTGCATATGCAAACCGGCGTCTGGCTGTGTTTTGTGGACTCCTCTGGGGGGTGAGGCGGAGGGAAGAGGCTTTACTAAAGTCAGTCAGAGGAGGTGGCTCTTCACAAGGGCATCTGGGGACGGCTGGCTGAGTCCAGTGGCAAAGCCACCCCCTGCCCACTGTTGCTGACTAATTCACAGTGCTGACTTATAGCACTGTTGCCTTGCATTGTAAGGCAAAGATTTTATTTCTTGAGACTTTATCATCTTGGGTCCACTTTGGAAATTAATAGCAAACTTTTCTTTCCCCCTACAGCCAAGTGCTTATGTACCTGCATTGCTCTCCAAAGAGGCAAGGTAGGCCTCCAGCTTCTTCAAACTCCAGAAGACTTGGGTAACGCAGGCCTGGGGCAACACATTCCTTCTTGTGAGATTTCGGTACTCCAAGTTAAGTGCTTGCTTAGGGAACTGCACTTTGGCCTGAATTGGGTGAAACAATGAGTAGAATGAAGGTGTGTCTTGCTCAAGTTTAAAACCAAGTTGACTCAATAACCAGAATACCTGATAAAACTGGGAGTGGCCTGGGGCTAAGGCAGTAGTGATCATTAAATCGGATATGCACCTGAGGGGCTGACAGCCGGGTAAGGCACACACAGCAACTGGACCAAGATGTGTTTCTTTCTGGGGGCACTGTTGCCAGCACTGAAGTGATGGAAAGTCTTCCTTGGGAAAACTATTTTCCTAAGTATTGGAGAAGGAGCTGAATGACCCAGGTGAACAAGAAAGCATGTGGTAGCAAAGAGGAGAGGAATGAAAATGAATTGGAAGAGAAAACTGGAGTTTGTTGGCAGTGGAAGAAATCAGTGGACACTGGAGCCCTATGTAGAGCTCGAAGTTCTAACAAAAAACGATAAGCTATTCCTGGAATCTAGAAGCAGTGGTGATCATTTAGCCTAGCAGTTAAATGCCCATGTCCCACCTGGGAGTGCCTGGATTTGATTCCCAGCTTCAGCTCCTGACTCCAGCTTCTAGCTTCTGAACACCTGGGGAGGCAAGGGTGATGGCCCAGGTAATTGGATTCCACCTGGGAGACCTGGATTGAATGCCTGGCTCCTGGCTTTGCCCTGAACTTGATGCATGGGAAGAGTGAACCTATGGATGGGAGAGCTCTCACTCTCCACCCCCTTCCAATTCAAATAAACAAAAATAGAAAAAATAAAAACAATATAGAAACAGATCTTACATGGCTTCTGAGCCAGCAGATATAGGACCGGCTCCAGGCTCCAAAACCTCAGTGTGTAATTGTCTGGAGGTACATATTGACACATTAAGGTTCATTTTCTTTGTTTGTGAAAGAAGGATAAGGTACCTAGCTACTACGGCTGGAGTAAGAATTAGCTGCCTACATCTGTGGTGCTCCGCATTTAGTAAGCATGCAATAAATAGTAGCTGTTATTATAAACAATGTTGAAAATGGGCTTAAAGATCACCAATAACTCCTAATATTTGCTGCATTTTTTTCCTTTCTGGGTCAGAATCTAATTTAGGACCACACATCACATTTAATTGACATGTACCTTTAGTATCTTTTACTTTGCTACCATTTTTCAGTCTTCCTCATTTTTCAGCATCTTGGTGACTTTTTTTTTAAAGAGTATTTATTTATTTGAAAGTCAGAGTTACATAGAGGGACAGGGACAGAGAGCTCTTCCATCCACTAGTTTACTCCTTAGATGGTCACAACAGCCAGGACTGGGCCAGTCCAAAGCCAGGAGGCAAGAGCTTCACCTGTTTCTCCTATGTGGGTATCAGGGAGCCAAACACTTGGGCCATCTTCCACTGATTTTTCCAGGTGCATTAGCAGGGAGCTGGATCGGAAGTGGAGTAACCCTAGCATTCATTTGGGATGCTGGCATCCCAGATGGCTGCTTTACCCGCCACACCATAATGCTGGTCCCAAGCTCTGTGGCTTTAAAAAACACATGCCTTTCACCTGGTATGCAGCCATAGACTATTCTATCCACTGCTCAATGGTCAATGCAGTCCCTGTGATGAGACGTCCAACGTGGAGAATGAAATATGTCTCAGCACACTTTTTTTTTAACTGCTTGGTTCTGTTTCTTTCTATGGCAGTCATCCAAATGTGTAAATGTCATTTCACAAGAAAGCCTTCCAAATTGTTTAAGGTTAATAGCAAATATTCGGTGTGTCTTCTGTTGAGGCTAAACATGGCTTGTCCCTTTGGCCCCTCCCTCTATGACTTGCTTTCACAATCTTTCACCGTCTCTTACACTTCAGATTGCCTCTGACCTACAATGCTCACAACCAGTCTTCCCAGCAAAACACTGTTGTTCTAGAAACTGCTGCATCCAGGCCTGTGCTTTTGTACCCATTTGAATGGGCAGTCACACTCTTCATATTCATTGAGTGTCTGTTAACTAAAACTTATATCTTTTTCACATGTTACTGTTTGTTCCCGACATTGGGGTTCTTGTTTAATCCTTCAGTGTTTCCTTTTGTGTAAAAGGATAGAATTAGGTGCAGGCGCTGTGGCGTAGGAGGCTAAGCCTAAGCCTCTGCCTGTGGCGCCTGAATCCCATACGGGCACCCGCTCATGTCCCGGCTGACTCTCTTCTGATCCGGCTCTTTGCTTATGGCCTGGGAAAGCAGAGAGGATGGCCCAAGTGCTCAGGCCCCTGTACTCACATGGGAGACCCCGGAGAGTCACCTGGCTCATGGATTCGGATCAGCTCAGCTCCGGCCGTTGTGGCCATTTGGTGAGTGAACCAACAGATGGAAGACCTGTCTCTCTGTCTTTTCCTCTTGCTGTCTGTAACTCTACCTCTCAAATAAATAAATAAATAAATAAGGATAGATTAGACTAAATGACCAGTGAAGTCCCTTTTTAAGTGACTTATTTCAAACATAAAAATATAGAGGAAACTGGTACAAAAGAAATCCCATATCCTTCTCTCCTAGCTATTCCAACTGTGTTTATTTTACATTGCATATCTCTATATATAGAGATAAGTAGATAATCGCAGTCAATATTCTTTTTCCGAAGTGTTTAACAGCAAGTGCAAACATAGGCTCCATCCTGTTAGGTACTCTACTTTATCCATTTCCACCAAGCCAAGATTCTCTTCCATAAGCAACAATGCAACTCTGAGATAATCCCATCACCAAGTCCTTAGAATCCATTCAAATTTCACCAACTTTTCCTAAAAATTTCTTTTCCTTTCTGGTTCAGAACCCAATACAGGATCAAAATTTCAGTTAATTGTCATGTGTCTATTATCTTTTAACCTGTTGCCATTTTTTAGTCTTTCCCCATCTTTCAGAACCTCAATGGCTTTAAAAAGCACATGACTTTCATCTAGAAGGCTGTCCTGAGACTTGGGTCCATCTGATGTTGCTTCACATCTCATCCAGGTCATGTATTCTTGTCAGGGATATCAAAGACATGACATTATGGTTTTTTTGTTTGTTTGTTTGTTTTTTACAGGCAGAGTGGACAGTGAGAGAGAGAGACAGAGAGAAAGGTCTTCCTTTGCCATTGGTTCACCCTCCAATGGCTGCCACAGCTAGTGCGCTGCGGCCAGCACACTGCGCTGATCCGATGGCAGGAGCCAGGTGCTTCTCCTGGTCTCCCATGGGGTGCAGGGCCCAAGGACTTGGGCCATCCTCCACTGCACTCCCTGGCCACAGCAGAGAGCTGGCCTGGAAGAGGGGCAACCGGGACAGAATCCGGTGCCCCGACCAGGACTAGAACCCGGTGTGCCAGCGCCGCAAGGCAGAGGATTAGCCTAGTGAGCCACGGTGCGGGCCCGACACTATGTTCTTGACAGTTGCACTGCACTAGGAGGCATAGGATGTTTATCAGGGCCTCCATTGTGATGCTAACATTGGTGGATGCTGGGATGTTTCATTGTAAAGTCAACACTTCCCCTCTGTATCTGTAAAAGTTTGCCTGGTACACTCTGAGGGTCACCAATATTCTCTCTCTCATTTA